AATAAAACGCTGGGTTACACTGCACCCATGGGTGTGCCACCTAAAGTGCAGCCTATGTTAGTTACCTTCAACTAAATGAAACACTGGGTTACACTGCACCCATGGGTGTGCCACCTAAAGTACAGCCTATGTTAGTTATCTTTAACTAAATAAAACATTGGGTTATACTGTGATCTCTAACTACAGAAAATACTGTGTTACTCTTCACTTTTAGTTTCACCTGCTGAAAAAGAGCTTACCACTGGCTGAAATAGCTCTGGAAAACAAAGACATGGGGTAATTTGAAGATGCAGTTGACTGAAAAAAACCGGCTTGACTAATAAAAAAAGCCTGCTTATCTTTTCCTTAGCTACATTCTTCGCTGTTTGATTTCTACCGGTTGAAACTTGTTTGTCGTTTTTGATTTTGCTTTCTCTTTTTAATATATTTTTCCTATTGGCTGGTTTAAATTTATTCAAAATGCTTCCCCTCATCGCAGCTTCCCGAGGTGTTTCGATAAACGTATTTCTAGTGAAATCATAACCATGGGCTCACATATATTATACCCAAAAAGGTGCAGCTTAAGAGAATAATGATCACAATCTTAGCAGGAAACCTCGACACTCATTAGCACTACTCTTATGTTCAGTTACAGGACCGCCATCCGTTTATGCAAATAAGTAAACCTCGCACTTGTTAAGCGGGAAAAAATCCTAACTTTCAAAAACAAAATTTAATAGCACTTTTGATAAACATTCAAACTCCCCTTTTCACAGCAACCTTTTCGACAATAGGTGGTTTGCAACCAATCTCTAGAGACACAGGTAACAATGGTGAAAGGAACAAATGCTGGTGGACGAACAAAAGGAGCTAATAAGATGTCTATTGTTTACGTCCACCAACATGGCGGCAATGACGAAACGTGCAAACCACCTATTTCATTGACGATGGCCTTCGCTTCTGGGTTGCCAAATCCGCACATGTTTCGAAGCACCATCGCCAAACTTTCCCTATTTGAGTATTTCTTTCGTACGCGTAATGCACGTCCTTGATAACGCGATTGCTTCGCTGCTTCATCAACCGCACCTTTTCTGGAGTATCCAAATCTTCCTTTTCGTTGATCTTTTTTAGATTTGAGGAAACATCCTCATTTACATGTCATTGGATAAGAATAGCCTCTATTGTGTTATGCTTCGTTCTTCAAAGCCTCCCGACAAAGGTAAATGAGGTGGCCGGGTATTCTGCAATTGTTCCCATTCTTGTTTTCAGCTCTCTGCGAGTTTCCACTGTTTGGGTCATGGCCACAGATAACGACGTCTTGTTCGTTGGTGTCGTTGGCAATTCCAAGGGCCGTGAAGAACGTGGTGGTTCTGCGTAATTACTAAAAGAAGGAATGACCTAAAACCACCTACAACCACCTACAACCATCTAAAGCCACCTACAACCACCCACAACCACCGCCTACAACCATCTAAAACCACCTTCAGAGTACTATTGTGTGACAATTTGTAACAATGTAAATGCACACCGGAAATTTTGCCGCATGTCTCGCATGTCATGACCAGGGAAAAACACCAAGAGAATTTCGAGTTTACAGTGTATTATAATGAGACCTGTCTAATGACGATAATGATAAAAAAAATGCGAAAAACCTTTGGTTTAAGATGTCTCATATAACAAGCCTCCCATAACTTTACACTATCATGAGGCTATGAGTCATATTTGGCTTGTCAACACCTTTTACTCATTGATATTTTCATATCAAAACCCCGCTTGTTTTCACGACGCCGGGTGTCTCGCTTAAACACGAAGGCGCGCCATAAAAGGGCATTAGCTCCTCCCCCTAATTTTGAATTCACCCAAAAACATAAAGATGGCGGACGATGAGGAGAACCGCAACGAACACTTAGTATTTGTTATACTCGTCAAAAGCAATAAAACATACCCAGAAATGGTCGCAAAATATCAGAAGAGCTATTTTTCTGTGAGTAGTTTTTTTTTGGAGTACAATATTTCCTCGTTTCGTGTAAAAAACTTGCGTTGTTACAGTCAAATTCAAATCGCCCACCATTTTGAGCCTCCCCTACCAGGCTATCCGTGGGGCTATCTTTGTCTGTTGCGAGTCTTCATTTCACCGGTACAGTGGCAAGCAGTGTTCCAGTGAATTTATGCGCCAATATGCGATATATTCGAGGCTCGATCGAGCAGTGACGCCAACGAAATAATCGTCATTTCGCTTAGGAGTTGTCTGAGAGAATTTCTCTTAGTGCGAGACCTTTTGTTGAGGTTATTCTACGATTCGACTCGGAAAATGGACAGCTTTCCCCCTCCAGATAAAAAGAAACGTACAAAAATCAACAAACGTGCAAATGAACGGCGAGATCCAGCGGAACGAAACCCATTTTCAGTCTGACAATTGAAGTAAAAAAGGATCAGCAAAGTCGTTTGGAAGCTATCAAACAGAGGATAAGCAACGCTAAATCGGCTCTTGGTATAGGTAGACAGACGCAAAATACTGATTTAATGGAAAGACTTCTCTCGTATTTTGAAATGATTTGTTCATCAGCTGTGGATAGTAGCTCTTCATCCATCACCAAGACTGATGTGCTCGAATGGCCGAAAATCCATTTTGTGAATTTTGTGGCGAAGATTACAAATAGGCTTCAGCTACTTTTTCAAGTCAAGGGCACGTTTGTAAGATTGAAGTTCCCTGTGTGTAATGACTCAGTTACTTGGCTCAGTTTTGGAGTTTTGGGACACCCTGCAAAGTACTACGCCAATGTTAGATGAGTATAATATGTACATGACNCCCGAGAAGTTAAAGCTACGCAAGGCTATATTGCAAGTGGGGATGTAAGTTGACATGCAACCAGCTACTTGTTCGTTGTGTGTGTTCAGTGTTGTTGAAGTTATTTGCAGTGGGCAAAATTTCAAATAACACCTTATGCAGTGCTAGGTAATTTTGTACCTTCATTCAAGTTACCTTCAATGCTCAGTTTCCTCCAATTCATTTTTTATTCTAATTACTCTTTCAGTGAATGATAACAGATGCCAGACATGACTCAAGTAGATCAGCTATGCATTCTACAGTGACAGCTATTTCTGTGAGGTAAGAAATTCCAACCGAATGCTAAGCCCCATGAATTTGATAACTTGTGCCTCACTTTTCTGAAAGCCTGTTTCCACTTCCATCATCTTATCAGTCGTCTTTGTGATTTTTGCCTCCCTGCGGCATTTTTAATAAATTGATAACTCTGTTTCTCCATTTTGGCTGTTATGATGTGGGATTCCTGTCTTACTAAAAACCATAACATATCAAACATACGCTTGCTTTTAGCATACAACGTAACAGAGGTGGCCCATGACTGTGTCAGATCATTGAAAAAATTGGTTTGAGCAAAGAGGTATCAAGAATTCCTTTGACACCTGACATGGTAAGTATGTATATAAGTTCATATGTCAATGACTGTGTGGAGCTCTTCAGTTTTGTAATAATTTATTGAATCTGTTACCAGCATGTTATCTAATAATCTAAAGGCATCAAACATAAACAAGACTTTTTGTGTTTGTTGATGAAAAACAGTACTAAATCATTCAGGACATGACTCATGTCATGTCATGCATTGAGTGTACTTTACAATTTACAACACATAGATATTGTTTTCCTAACTGATAAAGTTGTTATTGTTGTAATCTATCTATGGTCATGATCAATCACAACTTATTATCAAGACTGAATTCATTTGAAATTAGTGTCTCTTTCACATTTGCATCTATTTTATTCAAGACAGTACTTGTATTTACATGTATGTAATAGTGTCGATGCTTGCAGGCTTTGCCATATGCCTTGCCTAGTGTGTTTTTTGCAGCTTGTAGGTTTTTTGCAGAAGCTCTTAAAGTGTCACGATATAAGGCTACTACTTGTTTGCTTTCCTTTTCAGAGATGATGTAGCTTTGGTCTTGGAATGAGTTTATTGATGATCAAGGATAGTTCAAGGCAAAGTATTCTTTCAGTTGCTTTTCCATTTTCTGTTGAAATGATGACATCATTTTGGATTCATATGCTCAGAAATCTTCGCGACTCAATGAAAATTATTATAAATAGCACCTGTGTATAATCTTTATTGAGAGGAAATAAACTGCAACCCAATTCCTTTTTTTTCTCCTAGTAGGATCACAACCTAAGATACAAGCAGTGGTAGAAGAACATGGAAAATGCAGATCAATCCTTCAAGATATTGCATAGTGGAGTTCAGAATTAGGGCATACAGTGTATTGTGAAACAATATAGCTTCTATTGTACCTTATTGTCACTATACAAAGAAATGTATACTATTTTGGAGGGAAGTGCTGATGGAGTATTGTAATGCTGATTTTATGAACGACGGTGAGCACAGTAGGGCACTCCATCAGGATTTGGCCACCGTTTCCGAAGATCTTCCACAACACAGACTGGCATGACCTTTCAAACATCTTCCACGTAACATCCCAATGCTTCCTTCCTGGCTATGTAAATAAGATCGCGCTATAAACCGTGGCGGTTTAGAATTGTATAAAAACATCTATTGTCGATCTCTTGACTAANTCTCAGGCCATTTTGAAGCGTTTTTGGTAATTTAGAGCAGTTGAACACCAACATAGCGCTAACTCGCCGAAAACGCTTCAAAATGGCCTGAGACGCTAGGAATCAACAAAGAAAACAACAAGGCAATAAGGTAAGCCCATTTCATTTCAAAACAAGACATTTATTTCTCTCTTTTAAGGCAAACCGATAACATTCCATACAAACCTTTATAAATATAAAACGTTGCGCAACACGGTAAGAGTCACGTCCGCTTTTCTAGTAGTGAGCTTGGGCTGCCTGTGCCTTATATAGCGCGCCTTCGTGTTTAACATTCCTGAGGGTGTTTTGTTTACCGACTAAGTTTTAAGCGACTTAAAAATGATAGGTGTTTTCACGAGGAAGATTATATTTCACTTTGGTAATTTGAGAACACGCACGCGGATAAATCAATTTGAATAATATGGCGGGAGACGGAGAAGATGGTCGCATGTTCGTCCTTCTTCTTTTCATTACTGTGTTTATGCGGTTAGCTTTCATCCAACAGAGGGGCCTTCACTTGCACCGCTTGCACTGGCACTCTGGTATGGGTCATTTGCGATTCGGTCAGCGAATCTGGTCGGGAAAATCTTGCTTGAGGAAGCCACAGTTGATTTTGGAAGGCTGGAAATATATATGGACCACATGCGGGAACGGTATCGACAAAGTGATCGCTCACAGGAGGAATAACTTGATAGTGCATCATTTGATGGGAAGCTTCTTGGATCATAAAAAGGAAAATTATTCGCTCTAGGATTATCCATGTTGTTTTGAATGCCGCAGAAGCTTCACGGGAGAAAAAAAATACCACGAGTCTTGTATTTCCGATTTGACAGCCCTGTCAAATGAATAACCGCAAACGACTCCTGATTGGGCGAAATTAATTACCGACTCGCTTAAGCTACTTGGTTTAGTGGCTTAAATTTAATGAGAATTCCACTGAAGTTTGCCGACTCGCTTAACTTTAAGCGAGTTGGAAAAACAACTGTTTTCACGGGACTGCCGCTTGTCACTCGCTAAGCGACCTGAAAAATCGCTCGTGAAAACACGGCCACCATTAATAAGGTCACGTATCACAGCGCCGCGAGACTGAGACGTATTTGGCCTGCCAACGCCTTTAACTCATTGATATTTTTAGGCAGCAAAACAAAAAGATCATCACACCATCATATTCTGAAGGTGGTTGTAGGTGGTTGTACGTGGTGGTTGTGGGTGGTTGTAGGTGGGTTTAGGTCATTCCTTCTTTTAGTAATTACGGTTCGTTCTTTGTTTGCTTGGCTTTCGTTTTCTTCGTCAACAGACATGTTACTGAGATCTACTGTGTTCAGCAAATCTCTCAGCTGGGAAGTGAACTCAGAGCTTTCCAAGGAAGAACGGTGAGGCAGAGTGGTTATCAACCCAAACGAGGAACAGAAAATTTCCGTTGCATTGAAGACTTCTTGTTAGAGCAGTGGCGGCCATCTTGCAGCCGAATGTAGGCACTGTCGATTCTTTGAAAATCGCCTGGAAAACTGGCGACAATAGGCGATCGCTTAAAATATTGTGTCGGCGTTGATCCACAAACTTTGGAACTAAGAATCTACCAACTCAATTGTGGACTTAATTCAGGGCTGATGACCCGTGTGAAGGGCGAGACACCTTCCACGGTGCCATCTATGCTGCTACTGAATCACGCGTTTGTAATACGAATGTGCAAAGAAAAGATTGGCGGCCAAAACCCATGACATTCGAGTATTGAAATAGTCACATTACCCAGGTGCTAACTCGAGGGTGTTGATAGCTTGAGCTAGTCGGCCCATGACATATTTAATGAGATTAAATGAGATTAACTACGGGATTATCACATCCGAAAGAGACGAGCCCAGCTGGCGTAATACTTTCAGTGCAAAGCACTTGTGTCTTCTCATCTAACAACTCAATACTCCCTTTAATTAAAGCAGAGAATGAAGGAAAGCCAAATTTGGATTACTCTGCTTGGAAAAGTAAAAGTTGTCATGACTGTTAAAAGCATTTCAGAGCCTTCTATTTCGTGCTTAACTGACAATTTTAAGTTTCACTAAACCTTGGCTTCACCTTTTCCTTCCTGAAGTTTTGTAGGTTTGTGTCTTCCTTCCACTTCTTTTTTGCGACCAGCAGTGGACAATGCAACAGAGGGTGAACTACCTAAGATTAAAAGTACTCAGGGCAGTTCATGGTGTTACTGTACTCTTGATGATGACATTATAAAATGTCAAACCGACATGTGTTTTACTGACTGGAATGGACAAAATTTACCTACATTATTTCACTCAGTTTTTCCAATGTATAATTTAAGATCTACATTGAGGAAACTTGTTCTATCGTCAGAAACTGTTTGACCATCCTCAGCCTCTATCATCTAAATTTTCCCTTAAAGCGAAGGACAGAGTGAGGAAAACTAAATTGGGTTTAATTTCCTTTCAAACAAAATATTCGAGAACTCGAAGTATTTCAAAGTAGTCTTAGTTAAGTTTTAATATGAAAGCTAATTTAACGGCATCTTTACTCACCTTGTATTCTTTGAAGTTCTTCTAGTTTTTCTACAGGATCAAAAATGAAAGACGCAGAGAGAGGCAAGATGCCTAGAAGCAAAGGTATACAAGGAGAGAGATTAACATTCACTGACTTTTCTACAGATGATTATAACATAACCAAAGTAAAGCGCGCGCTCTGATTGGTCAATTTAGCGTCCCCATTTGCCCATGGGTGTACGCTGCTGACGTGAGCAAATGCAAAGACTATTTTTCCGCGCGCGCTTGTTTTTTCTGGTCGCGTAAGATTTGTTAAATAAAAGGGAACTCTTTAGCCACAATGTATCAATGTTATGTTATAAAACAAATGGTAAACATCACAGCGTACACTATTGAGTTATGGATGCACTTGGGAGGTTTGCTAAGCACTCAAGAAGCTAGATTCGCTCTCGGCTATCGCCTCGAGCGACTCTTATGCTTCTCTCGTGC